ACTAACTATTAGTGCAACTTGAAACAAGGCAACATTTTGAGAAAATAAATCAAAATTTCGAGTTAGCCATTAGAAAATCAGGAAACTCCATAAATTATGTAAATCGGGTAGTGACTGTATCAGTGAGCTAATAATGTATATTAAACATGAATACATTGCTGCTATGCTGATAATAAGAACAAGTGATTCAGCTAGTGATGTAAAGATTTCATCATTTTTAAAACCCCACAGAGAGTACTCAAAAGTTTATTAATTCATGACCAGCTGCTTTAGCACCGGTAGCTTAGCTCCAGGATTGATGGTAAACTTTCACCTCCTGCTTCCAGGTAACAAGGAAATGACATACCTTCACAGAGCTTCCTGATTGGCTGAGCTCACTCTGAGAATGATTGCAGATTAGATGGTGATCCATGAGATGAATCCTGTTGTTCATATTTTTCCCAGGTTATTTTAATTTATTTAATAGAAAAGCAATATTTGGTTTTCCTGTATCGATACAATATTGCCAAGCAAAAATATCTCAATACTATGCTGTATCAATCCCCCCCACCCCCCATCCCTATGGATTACACAAAGCAAGTGAATCACAGTAAATAAGAAATATGTTAAATTCTCGATTTAAGATGTTTCTTGCAAATTTGTGTCATTAAATGTGTCATTTGTGACACAAGTGCTGCAGGAACCTCGTAACCTGTATGGCGGCTAATTTGTTGTGTTAAAGTAGAAGGTGGTTGAAATACTTCTACTCTTCATGGAAGGTTCACATAGCAGTTTCACGTTAATACGACTGTTTCAGTTCCTGCAATTTAAGTTCATTTTGCATTTTTTTTTTAAAATTATGTACATATATTTTCCTAATTTCTTCTACTGGCATAAATATCCGTGCTTGAGATTAATGTCAGTGTTCTATAAGCTTTAGCCTCCGTGCCTTTGATCATGTTTACGTTTATTAGGCTGAAATATCCTCAGATTTTTGTTTTTTACCCTGTCTGAAAATAAGGTGATCTATTTAAGGTCACTGGAAACTTTTCTTGTTCTATTGTGTTTTCCCCAGAATCTCCACAAGTGCCTGCACGACATCAACTACAAAAGGAAACTGAACTTAAAGAAGACAACACTTCCTTGTGCTTTTTTGTTTTTACGAGATGCAGCACCTACTGCCACTTAAGTACCGTATATATGTTTCAGTTTGGAAACCTCTCTTCTTGGTTATTAGTATGTGTGAAAGACTGGTGATTCATGCATTATGTAAACATTTTTTAGCCATCATGTGTGCATTCACAGGCACATCTCTTATTAGCATTGCTTTGCTCTGCTTTCATCATGTTCACACATCCTCTTGTCAGAGGATGCACACGTTTCACACATCAGCGCATGCATGCTCCTACGCACAGACACACAGGTTAGAAGAGAAGTGGTATTATCTGTCATTAGGCCCCGGGTGAAACACACATTTTACAGAGTCCAAAATTAGCTGAGTGAAGAGATAATGATCCCACGTTGGACTTTAGAGACAAGTAGAAGAAGAGAGAGAGAGAAGAAAAACATCCCTCGCACCTCTTTTAGGTGTCTAGAGTCTTGTGTGAACAGACATAGCAGTCGGGACGCGTGCTTTGTCTCGTCATTAGCGGTGTGTGTTTGTCAGCATGTGTATTTGGAGGAACGTTGTGTAGATAATTGGAGGAGATAAGTGCATTCTGTGCATTCAGCTGGATGTGCCAGGTTCACACAACCTATGCGGGACCATTTTGGAGCGGAAAAACGTGTCTTTGAAGCACGGTGTTACAGAGGAAGGCTGTGGTTGAAAAAGAACCTAAGCTTTTAATTTTATGGATGACAGAGAAATAAATAAATAGCATACTCGTGGTACGATCATAGCTATAGTAATAACCACATCTTTATGCAGCAATATAATGGGAAAGTTTTGCTTAAAATTTTTCTTATTTATACTGTAGGGAAGGATCATGGGTTGGCTTTCTTAAGCACTCTAAGGTTTTTTGCTGTCATTGTTAAAAAATTCACTCTCGTTGGTTATGGCAGACTTGTAACCTGTGAGTAAAAAGAACCACTTTGACTGTTGATTTGAAATGAGAAACAAACGGTTATTGAAAGTTGGATGTGAATTTAATGAATGCCTCATAATTAATGAGAAGAGAGTCATTTTTATTGTACAATGGCCTGTGGAGACACGGAAAATGTGTTTAGGTGAGTGGCCTTTTATCATCCAAACAAGATGTCGTTTTATCTGTAGTCAAAAATCAACCACTGTTGTCTTTCTTCAGGTGAGACTGGGGAGACTTGGAACAGGATATCTAGTCACGCTGGGCTGTGAATGATTCTGATAAGATGTTAACAGTTAGGTGCAGTGTTAGTGAGATATTAGCTATATCAGCTTCATCTTTTCTTCTTCCTCAAAGCTTTCGTTATCAGCTGTCTTTACTTTGCTGTTCCTACAGCCACAACTTCATTAGGGAGCTTGGTGATCCTGGACAAATCCCACCACTAAATTGCATCTGCGCTTTCTATGATCTGCAGAAAATAACTGTACAAACAGTCAAGGGCACCAAATGAGCAGCTGTTTTAGTTCATCAGGAGAAAATTACAAACAGATTGTGAACACAAATTGATTGAAACACACTGGAGGGGAAAAAAGTTCTTCTTTGTGGTTCTTTGGTCCAGAGGGATGACTTCAAATTGTAAACTATTCCTCAATCAATGTGCATCAGTGTACACAGCCCTAAAACCCTAAGAATGTTAAAACTGGACACTTATGCTAATTCTTAATACATTAAATTACCAGTGCGCGTATGTCCATTGTTAGCATCTTTCAAATTATTCTGTAGGACATGACTTCTTGAAGCAAAGCTTCCATGTGTGCAGACCATCACAAAGTTGCTTCCACACAGGCAGCGATTCAATTTTTTTCACATCACTATGAAGCTGACAATTGGTTACTAACGCACATTCCAGGTTCCAGTTGCCTAGGTAACCCTCTAATGCTCTTCTGTCATGTGTCAATCACTCGTATCTTGTGCTCTTAATTTAGTTACTTTAATTGCTTACCTCAGAGTTGGGCATAGAATGGCACTGATTTTCATCCGTGTTTGGTCATCACGCCAGTTCACACAACACTTCCCATGTGGGTACACTTTAATACCCACTTTTCTTTTTTTTACTGGTATCATTTGGAATTCATAAAATGGGATATGGCTAATATCAAAGTACTTCCTACAATGTTAATGAGCTGATTATAACCTGAGATAATTCATGTATTCTCTTGAAATCTTTGCTGGCACCCTCTAATCAGAACACCTGCTGTTGTTGATGTTGAGCCTTTTCATTCGTTAGAAGTCTTCATAGGGCAAACAGGCTGCCCATCACAGACCTGTCTGAAGCCTGAATTGTCATGTCACAGAAATGTTTGTCCGGCCATCCACCTGCTGCTTCTCCCAAAAGAACATTGCTGCTTCAGTACTTTTGGGAGAAGCAGCGGGTGGACGGCAGGGTCACTGTGACCAGATGCAGAAACAGAAGCATCTGCCCTCTTGTGACGGTTTTACCTCCTTTGTTCGCTCTGACAAATAGCTTGAGTCAGACCTTGCCTATGGCACTGGCTCAGCACTAACACAAAGTCAAATAAAATGTGGAGAGAGGTCTGGACACTGGAGATTATTAAGTGGATGATGTACTGTATGTTTGCTTTCTGAGAGTGCAGAAATGGGTTACAAGTGTGCCTTATTGATTTGAGAGAGACCGCTGCATTTTCTTTTGTTTTAGTTATAGTTTCTGATAGGCACTTTGTTGAGCCCAAACCATTTCCTCCAAGGCAGAGAAATCTCTTTATCTCTTTTTTTCACTCTTTCAAAGCCCATAATATCAGCACATCTCCGTGTCCAGCGGCTGTTGTCTGTCAAGGGGAATATAAGCCTGACGTAGTAATATCTACCATTTATCTGCCTGTCCAATGCTGCCTCCACTGAATGAAGCCTGCGGTGCTTTCTGAAAAGCTTAATAAATCGTATTTGTTCAGGCATGTTGACTCAAAATACAGTTTAATACGGCATCACCTCTAGGAGAGGAGAAATTTGCCCACTTCATTCCACTGTGTTAGCGGCTTTGTCACTGATACACCAGTGTGTGGCACATGCAAACAACTCAGATGTAAAGTGATCCCTCTGTTAACATTTCCATCAAAACAGTGTGTGATCTGGATCCCAGTGGTGTAGTGGGATTATGTGACACAAGGCATTTTGGGATATATTTCACTTTGTGAGGGCAGGATACTTTGATTCATGCGTACAGTTGATCTTTTATGCTTTGCTAAATCATCAGCAATTATGCTTCAAAAGTTCCAAATCAGAAGAAACACGTGGCGAGTGATTTAAAACAAAAAAGGGAGAAATAAATCAAAAGAAACGTGTTACTGCAAAAGAATTTGCAAAACACAAACAGGGAGAAAAAGATGAAAATAGTAAAACTTAATGAATTTAGTCTGAAGTTTAAGTTTTCAGAAACAAACAGGCCTTTTTTCTCACACTCTGAGCATTTTGATATCTACATGCTACTAAGAGGAAATAAATGAAGAATTATTAAAGTAAAAAACAACAACTTATTTTATTTTTTTTCCCTGGTTTACAATGTTCATGCTTCTAAAGTATGCAGCTTCACTGGAGCAGGTGCCTTGCTCAAGGGCAGCTGCTTAATAAGGTTTGGGAGAAGAAATTGTTTCTTGTTCGCTTTTCCCACCCCCATGCTTCATGCACTGGTTCCCAGCGCCTCCTTTTAACCGAAACAAAATCAATGAAAAGATTTGAGTGCATTTTCCCAAATCCAGATATTGTTTTTGTAAAAAGCATGTGAAACAGCAAAGTTCGTTTTTATGGATTACACACAGAATGCAAAATATCTGAGAGCTCAAAAACTCCAACTCCAAGGCAAATGAGCTACTTGTATTAATGCAAACTGAAAAACAACTTTACATGACATCTCATTCTACTCACCAGCTTTCACTGCCCCATACAAGCTGAATAATATAAGGGCGACATGTGCATTAATTCCCAGGACTGTTTTACTCCAGAGATCCATGACGAAGTGAAACGATGCTGAAGAAAAGCACGGGGAAGGAGGGAGACAGTCTTGCCTCTCCACTCCTCTTTACTTCAGTCCTCCAGACTCTCTCACTCCCCAGATCCCTGATGAATTTTTTTGCTTCTGCGTCCAACGTGCTTACCAACATCCGCCTGGCTCCAAAGAGATAGCACCAGAAGCAAGGCTGCTCTCTGTTTGGCTGCACTCTGCAGAGTGAGGGGAAAGAAGTAAGTGAGGGAGAGAGGCACACAGTCACAGAGAGAGAGAGCGAAAGAGAAAGAGAGAGAGAGAGAGAGAGGAGTGAGAAAGCTTTCATTATGTCACAGCGCCAAAGCAAGCTACTTTAGTCATTAAGAGGACTTAAAGAAATTCTAGTGTGCTCGAATCCTTTGGTGGAAAACTATGGAAAACCCACTGCAGGCTGGGCTATTGTGTTCCAGCAACATTTGAGAAAAAGTGTCATCTTAGGTCCCATTAGGCTCAGGGCTCCTGCTCACGGTCTGTTTGTCATCGTGTAATCCAACAGTTCAGGTCCAGTGGTCAGTGACGGGATCCCCAGCACAGTTACTGAGTCACTGCAAATCAGCAAAGCAGCACAGTGAGGGATGATACAGGAATTTAAAGGATGACTTCAAATTAAAGGTCTGATTCTCAGTGCTGTTACTTTAATCTTTACTCTGAGCGAAATCTAGATCCAGAAACTGTCCCAAAAATACATGAAAATATTTTTATGGCAACAAATGCAACATATGCACCATAAACTGGTTAAAATAAGGTCAATGCACAAATCTAGAACCACTTTGAACATACAAGCTAATCACCATCTTCCAAGTATTTTAGTCAATCAGCTTTAATCAATGAAGAATTATAATTATAATGAGTTTACGCCCTCTTGTAATCACATCTAAAGATTTTAGCACTACACTGGCTTTGGTTTGACAGCATAAATGCCCGCTGGCAATGAGTGCTTCATAGCATGAAAACATAAGTCCTTTTAATTAGGTCTGAAGTTGTAATTTGCAAGTATTTATATACACTAGTCCGAACTCCTCCAACATCCAGAACAATTTATTCTCTGCTCATGGAAGCTAGAAATCAAAATCTAGGCTTCAAATTTTCTTCATCTCTATATTCATTTGATACATTCGAGTCCAAGCATGGGAAGATCTAAACTCCAACCAATTATAAACAGATATAAATATTTATTGCTTCTAAAATGTATATGGCAATATGGCAACACCTTTAAAACACTAATAAAAAAAAACTGCCAAATCGAAACAATGATCTTGGATTGTGACAGAAAGCCTCAGGTATTGTTTTTTTTTCTTCTCGCCACCTTCAGTCTTTGTACTCAAACAAAAAGACAAGAAAAACAGGCCTGATAAAACACCACCTGTCTAAAAAATACTCTTTATTGTCCACTTGAAAAGTCCGACATTGCTGCGCAGTCATCTGTCATTTGAAACCAACACATAATGAGGAGGTGAGAGAAGTAATTTCTCTGTCTAAATTGGGTTTTCACACGTTGATGTGAATACTGTGTAAATATCTCACTTCTTCTGAATGAAGAAGTAGATAATACGGCGGTCTTTGTGGCATTATCACAGTTAATATAACTATTCCTGGATCACGTCGCTGTGCTTGTTTTATCTGCCATGATGACTTACCATGCAGCCACTCAGGAATGTGAGAGAGGCTTTTCAGGAGCAGGGAGGCAGGCTGCATATGAATGAGTAAGCACTGTGACAGAGAAACTAGAGATACGGGCTGAAGCTGCCTGCATCTTATTGAAGTGTAATTTTAGTTTTAAACGTTTCTGAAAGTGAGAAGCTGAAACCCACTCTCATCCTATTGTGCACAAACAACATGCATTGTGTATTCTGAGTATTTATACATCAGCAAAAAGGTCATTCAGAGTCAGAATTACATTTATTGGCAAGCTTTTACACAAAGAGACGTTGGCTTGGTGCCGTGCAAAGAGTGGTACAGAAATGGAATATCCAGATGTGGTCAGATGTTTACATAAAACCCTCATGAACATGAATGTCATGGTAATTTGGGGGTTTTGATGATTTCTGTTCTTTCAGGGTGGAATGATTGTACAGCATGTACCTTTAATGACTTTAAAATGACTTTTAAAGAAAAGAATTAGGTTAACAAGTTTGAATTTAGTTTGGATTTTCTCTAATCCACACAGGCTTAAAACTCTACATATAGCCTCAAATATATGCATACACTCATTAAAATATTTGAATAAATGGTACAGAAGAGTCCAAAGTATCTTTTAACTTCACAAGACCAAGACCTATTAATGTCACACGGGTGATTATGATAAAGTAAAACTGATAGTTTCTCTTTGCCAGAAAAAACCCCAAAAGCTTTCTCCGTTCTGATTGTATTGGTCAATCAGAACGGAGAAAGTCCAGCAAACTCGGTGAACAGACAGAGACAGAAGACAGAGAAGAGATTTACGTTGGGATAAAATTGAGAGGATAGGAGGAAAGTTGGGAAATTGGTTAGGCTGATCAGGAATAATCCAAAGTCTCAAGCCTGCCATGCACTGGAAATTGTTGTAACACGAGCATCACTGTCCACAATGAAGCAAGTTGTAGATGGACTAAGAGGGTGGAAACCAAGCTTCCCAAGTATGGAGAAAAGTTTAATGGTGAGACGGGAAGAAGATTGACAAGAAGACAAGACACAGGAGTAAGGGTGAAGCTTCATAATCTTAACAACCTGCTTTCAATAATGGCAACCTTCATGTCAAGCATGGTGAAGGTAGCATCATGATCTATAATCTAACAAACCCTCTTAAATAAATTCTACCAGTTTTGCTAAGAAGAGTGGTTAAATCTCCAGCCTTTATTATGACAGAAGCTTACTGACTAAAACATCTGGCAAATATTTATACACTTTTCACTAAAACACTAAAAACGTCTGATTGAGGTACAACTTGCAAAGGGACAGATAAGGATAAGATTTAAGGAAGTTTTCAAGCCTGGATGCATGTTTTTGACAGTAGGCAGGGAGATGTGCAAAATGCAAGTGAAAGCATGATCTGCAGAGTTTCTAATGAAACCAGTGTGTAAAATGTTACAGCCTGAGCAAATAAGTGTGTTATTGTAACACATCAGCTATGTCCTTGACCAATGGTAGGGTTGCGAGTGGGGTGTAGGGTATGTTAAGAAGTCCAACTGCATGAGGAGGGAAAGTGCTCATGTGCCTTGAGGAATCTGTCCTGATGAACCCTAACTGCAATCTCCAGGGGGATGGGTGGGAGAGCACGCTTTCTTATCTCAGTATCCCGGAGGTGTGCAAGCAATAATTACCATGCATTAAGCTTATCATTACTTCATTTCTAAAAAGCATGACATTTCCAAAAAGTTTCTACTCTGCATAGACTTTATAAAGTGACACGATGACTCTCAGTGCCCCTGTAGGTTAATGACCAAGCTGACTGTAAATATTTCCATGGATAACATTTACTCAGCATTTTCAAATATTTCTGTGTGTCATCAGCAGACTCACTGTGTAAATACTGATGTAACAACAATCTAGTGATCATCCATCATTTCAGTGGATCTTTGAAAAATATGATGATTTTCTTCTTTTTTAGGCTACCCAGTGATGCAGTCATCTCACAGCAAGAAGGTCCTGGGCTCAGCAGACATCTGTGGGCCTTTGTACTGTGGAAGGAAGCTGGATAACCCAGAGAGGACCCATGCAGGCACAGGTAGAACAGGCAAATGCCATGCACAAAGGCATATGTGGTCCCTGGGCAAATGAAACTTTACAATAACCAAGATACACAACAAAAACAAAAGCAAATTCAGTATCTTACAAAGGTGAGCTAAATGTGACCACAGCTCTGGTTTGACATCATGCATTGTTTGCGATATGCCTTAGAAGAAGGATGTGTAGGAGTTTCTTTCATTGCCATTCGTATGCTATTCCAATATTTAGTTCCCTTTACTGAGAGCAGTTTGTCTAAATATGCTGCACCTATGAAGCAACTAAAACATCTGGTTAATAAATTCACTTAATTAATTTATATGTTTTATTCAGATTGAGAGCTGAGAATCTTTTTTGATCAAAACTAACAAATACAGTATTTTGTACATTATGCAACAAACGTATCATCCATTCGATTTCTTGTGGTACAACTGAGTACAGCCTTTTCCAACCTAATTTACTTAAGTCACATATTAATAGTGTTTAAGTAGATCTATGCTAGTTTCTGTTTCCTGCTGTTTCATCCTGGATGCAGAATTATTTTTTCATTTTTGAATCAACAGATCTACCATCTGGGTTATAATGTGAAAAATATTTTTCGTCCAAACCATGCCATTTCCAAATCTGCCTGGTGGCAACTCAAACAGCTAATGAATTCCTATGAATTGTATCAAAGTGAAAATAACTGAGATTACTTTGACATTGTGTTTTTGGTGCATTAGTGCTTATTTTGCCTTGACTTTGTCCCTCTGCTTTGCAGCTGTATTTGAGGCCCTCTGAAGCCACGTGTCAGGGATCATTTATTGAAATCGTTTTTATTGTTGCATACCAAATGAAGCCCACCAATGACTGATGTACTCGCACTCTGCTTCACTACACTGTCTGTGTAAAGATTTTGTCTTTGGGGAAAGCTAAAATTCATCCTGTTTTTTTATATTTATTATTAACTTGCCAAATGTCAGAAAAGGGAAATCTAAGACTTTTCTCACAGTCTAAATTAAATATGAATTTTGTGAGGTTACAAATGTATCCTGTTAATGGTACAATCATATGGGTTATTGACACTATTATCATGTTGTTGTCAGGCATTTCTTAACATTTCTCTCATATGCACTGTTATTGGTTTAATTACTTGGACATGAAATAAAAAAAGGGGAAAAATTGTATGTCCACCACATTTCCATCACTGACAACGAGAGCTGGAGCCAATAAATACCCATGACCACTGCAGAACAATCTGATCCAGGAATTACTGCTGATTTTACCCCGTGTAATGAAGACCAAGGACAGTTTTTAATGGTTGTCAATGTTTTGATTTTGCTTTTTGCTTTT